TCTGTTTTCAAGATGGGGGAAGTATCCTTCAAGTATACTCATTTGTAATCACAAATTGGGTTTGTTAATTGAAGTTCTTGAGGTTTAACAGTGAAACTAAAGTTTTGAAGACATCATTCAAGTAATAGTGGTAATGAAGATTGGAAGGAAGTTGGGTTTGATACATTTTGAAGATGTTCCAAGTCTTGAAGAGTTTCAAGTCATCTTTAAACTGACACTTGCAAGGTTAGCAGGCAGGTGCTTGCATTTTTGTGCTTATGATGACCCTCCATGTCAGCAGGGGGTTATTTTGAAAACAAAGGATACTGGTATGAATGGTACCATTAGATTTTTTTCTGTTGCCTTGTGTTGACAAGTCTTTCATAATTCTGCATGCAGGGAACCTCGAGGTTTCGGTTTTGTGCAGTATGTTGATCCTCAAGATGCTACAGAGGCCAAATATGGGATGGATGGTCAGGTTCTTCTTGGCAGGGAGTTGACTGTTGTCTTTGCAGAGGAGAACAGGAAGAAACCAGTTGAAATGAGGCAAAGGGAGAGAACGAGGTAAGACTGCCATTGTATGTAGAGTTGCTTTCTAGGCAGTTCCATGTTTTGGTAAAAGCATTGTGTTATTTGGTCTGTTTAATGAGTTCAGAAGAGTGCTTAGGCTGCATCTTCTTTATATTATTTTTGAGAATGTAGGTTAATACATTTTTTCCTATCCCTTTGATTAGGTGAGAGAGGTGCTCTCACATTTTTATGTTAGTAGTTCCATTTAGAAAAAGAATTTGAGGGATAACTTAAGTAACCTTGCTTTGTTAGAGAAGATTGAAATTGTGCCACGGATCCTCTAGCTGAGTTAATTATGTTTCATTGTGCTGATGTACATGGTAATATGAATATTGCAAAAGTTACTTACAAGATGTAGAATTCTTAATTTTTCTCTATTTAAAATTTGTTTGTCCAAGAGTTCTGTCGTTTTACTTGTTTGTAAGTCGCTTGACAACTGATAATTCAGGCATCCTAGAAACACTAGTTGTCCCTATCTTCCCTTAACTAATAGGTTTTATCATGGTCTCAGGGGTGGTCGTTTTCGTGATCGAAGAAGGTCTCCTCCTCGCTACTACTCTCGTTCGCCCGGATATTCTCGTTCTCCACCTCCACGGCGTGGGAGATCTAGGTCAAGAAGTCGCGAGTACTACTCCCCTCCTAGGAGGAGTTATCACTCAAGGTTTGTGACTTATTCTCTTTTTCTGAACCTTAACACATCTAAATAATGGTTGTTGCATAGGGTAAATTATTACAATCCCTCTTCCCCACTGCCATTCTTAGACCTTTCTCTTTTTTAAGATCTTTTTATTATTTTTGGTATGTAAGGAAGAAATTGTGTTTTAAAAAATAGAGTTGTAATGCCAATATCCAGAGGTAGGCATTAGTAATTTGTCTGGTAATGTCTTTTTGTTATTCTTATGTGACTGTCTTTTCTGACAGATCAATTTCCCCACAAGAGCAAAGGTATAGTCGAGAGAGATCATATTCACGTTCTCCCCCACCATATAATGGGTCAAGAAGCCGCAGCCGAACTCCAGATAGGGGCCCAATCCGCAGCAGAAGCCAAAGCCCAAGGCGAAGCCGAAGCAGGAGCCAGAGCCCGAGGCATATCCGAAGCCCAAGCAGAAGCAGAAGCCAGAGCCTGCATCGTGAGGATTATCCTAGGGATCTCAATGGAGAAAGGTCTCCCAGTCACTGAATGATATGCCACCATTCTTGGTCTGTAGTCTTAATGTCTCTGAAGATACTGTATTGTCTGGGTGGATTTTGCAGCGGCAGCAGGGGGTCAATGTTTGTATTAAACTTTATTAGGATGCTTTCGGGGGTATTGCAGTAGGAACCCTAACCGTATCTGAAGATTTCAAGTTAATTCTTCCCATGGCATTGCTTTATCTGACATTAAAGTCTATTGATTTAGATTTACAGACTGCGTTAGTGCTATATTTTTTGTGTGGGATTGAGTTAGTTGTGTAGTAATATATGAACTCAGAGTCTGTTCCACAGGATTTGAGGGTTTAGGACGCTTTCTCGTATGTGACAGAGGAAGGTGCTAAAAGGATCGACTTTTGACATTTGAGATCCACTGCATTTGCACTTTACAACTAAGCTGTGCTTTAGTGCTTAGTCTTTCCAACGCGGTTTTCATCAGTCAATCTTAATGCCTTTAAGTGATTTGTATTTTACTATAGATTTGAATCTCTCTCCTCACCTCATCTTCAAAAGTTGATCTTTTTGACCCTGTATCATGGTTAGAATGATTTCCTTGGACCAGAAAGTTCGTTAATTAACAATAGTAAAAAATCATTATCAGAAATACATAACATAGTTGATACCTTTTTTAAATTAAGCCATGTAATACCTTTTTTTATTGGGAATGTATAATATTATGATCTTCTTAGTCCTTTTTTTCATAAATTATAATAAATTTAAACTGTAAAATACTAATAATTGAACTTTACAATTAGAGATTTCTCTTAATGGTTACTACTTTATATTTAGTATTACTGTAAAATATTTTTTGAATAAAAATAATGTTTTCTATTTTTATTCTTTTGTTTTATAGTTAGTTTCACATTTTCCTAATGTG